TCAGACGGACGGGACGAGGCTAAATGCTGTAAGTATTGTTGCCTAAGTCCTGTGCGCTGTCCTCACACGCTTAATCTTGTATTCTTTGTTTTGGGATCTCTGGTTTGAATTATGTTTATACATCTTGATGCAGATATAGACACAAACCCTGGTTTAGACCCACATTTATTTGTGCTCTGTATCAAACCTTTAGCATCCTGCAAGCCTGGGGAACTGTTGTGTGGGAACAACCAGTGCAAACCTCAAAGCCAGTGTGTCAGTCAGAGCATTTGTGCGGACAGCAGTGAGGAGGGCAGCTGTGGTGAGCAGAAAACACCGCCGCTCTTTTAATACCTTCACATGTCAGTGTTTTGTTCGGTCATGTGTTTCATGCTGCCTTCTGTTTGCTTTTCAGGAGGTAAATGTTACCACGTCTGTCCCAACAAGGTGTGTTTGTCTAAGTCGTCTGTGTGTGATGGTGTCATTGACTGCAAAGACCGCAGCGATGAGCTCAACTGCACCAGAGCATGTGAGTGCTTATGATGTCACAGTTATGGTTTAGTGCAACAGTGTGCTCTTAAAAAATAATATTACAACCTTCGTTCTGTTTAGATGTTAAAGGCTGCTCCTCATCCTCCTACAAATGTGCCAATGGGAAGTGTGTCAGTAAGGTCAACCCGGAGTGTGACGGCATTAAAGACTGCTACGATGGCTCTGATGAGCTGCGCTGTGGTACAGGAATTGCTCAAGTACCACACCTCATACCGCTGTACTTGCTCATTAAAATACAGGCTCTAACATCTTCATATGTGTTCCTTATCTATTCCTCAGGCTGTGGAACCAGGCCCAAAAAACGCACCAAGATAGTGGGAGGGAGTGACGCCGTAGCTGGGTCATGGCCATGGCAGGTCAGCCTCCAGATGGATCGCTACGGGCATGTCTGTGGAGCCACGCTGGTCTCAAACCGCTGGCTTATCTCTGCTGCTCATTGTTTCCAGGACTCTGATGCCATTAAGTAAGAAAACTACAGAGAACCTTATGTTGATGATTCATATATAAGCACTTTATTTAAGCGCAGTGTATCCTAGATACTCAGATGCACATGCGTGGCGTGCATACATGGGAATGCGTGTGATGACCACAGGAAACCAAGGAGCAGCCACCAGACCGATCCGCCGCATCCTCCTCCACCCACAGTATGACCAGTTCACGTCTGATTATGACATCGCCCTCCTCGAGCTCAGCGCACCTGTTTTTTTCAGTGACTTGGTGCAGCCTGTGTGCGTCCCCGCCTCCTCTCACACTTTCACCACAGGGACCAGCTGCTATGTCACAGGTTGGGGAGTTCTTATGGAGGATGGTAAGCACTCATAATTGAATAGAAATATGCAAATTTTACTTAATTTTACTGGAAACTTTGACTGTTTCTGTGGATTGTAGGTGAATTAGCCTCTCGCCTACAAGAGGCCTCGGTGAAGATCATAAATAGAAGCACCTGCAACAAGTTGTATGATGACGCCGTCACTCCCAGGATGCTTTGTGCTGGGAATCTGCAGGGAGGTGTGGATGCATGTCAAGTGAGTGTGTATGGATTTTATGGAAAACATTGCACTGGTTTCTTAAGAAATTTCAAAACTTTCTTTTTAGTCTTAACCAGAAATGGTTTAAGATACTTTCTTGGAGTATTTCCAAGAAATCTTATCTAAACCATACAAGAGAAATCTACTTCCTCAGTGTCTTTTTGCTAATCACATGCTGCTTCCTATGATTTCTTGTGTAAAGACTCCTCTATTTAGCCAACTAACCACTTCTGGCGTGAAAACAAATAAAATTGTGCTCACGAGATATAAAATAGTAGAGAATTGGTTTCACATGCCTTATTTAACAGCGTTATTCCTCATGTTATCATCAGATAATCAGTGCAGATAATCATTTAGTCTCTGCAGAAAGTGCTACACAGCTGTCAGGGTTTTACAGGAACTTTCATGTTTGTGGTGAGTGTCACAATTTCACCTCCACAATTTTAGAAGTCTAAGCATTTTTTGTACACACACATTATTATAGTGATTCACGAACAATGCCAGTAATTTCAGCAAACGCTAACATGAGCTGAAGTTTAGTTTGTTGATTCAGGCTGATCATATATATGGAGATTCTAAATATCACATTACAGTTTGCGTCCAAATATCATGTCACATTTGACCTCTGACCTCACTTTTACATTTCACATCTGCCTTTCTTTCAAGTTGACCCTAAAATGTGTGACATCTTTAAAGAAAGTGTTGGCAAGAGAAGAAGACTGAGCTCCCTAGTTAGCTAAAAATATACTGAAGTTTAATATAATAAATAATAAAATAAAACTTAAGTTTTTCATGTCCTTTTATTTAGAAATCAATGCCTATTATCCATTACTTACTCATCCATAACGTTTGTGGAATCTTCCATCCTACCCTTACCTGACTTTCTCTTCATTACAAACTTCTTTTTTATCTGAAAATCATCAAAGATCAAATAAAAAAACACATACAGCAGATCTGAGCTTCACTATGGTGCTTTTTAAACTGGGCTGTTTAAAGGGTCGTTTCACCTAGAATTCCTAATAATGACTTTCTTCTCAAAAAGCTTTTCAGGCTCAGTCTGTCTGAAACCGGAAGTAACTTATATTAGGGAGCTTGTGCTATAACTCATAAAACAGCTGCATCAAAGAAACAAACATCAATCCCTGACGAAGGCATTTAGGAAATACCCGATGTTTGTGAGTATTTAGTTAGCCACTTACCTGGTAAAGTAAATCTAAGAGTGTCAAAGTTGCTGCTAATGTTTGCGACAGCTAGTTACCATCCTCCGTGTTGTCTAATCCTCGGGTGTTGAAGCTTAAAAGTTATGAGCAGATATAAAACGCCCTGGAGGAATTTTTGACTGCTTCCTCTTTATGATCTTTATGTTTGTGTCTACATGCTTATCGGTGTGTGTGTCCTCAGGGTGACTCTGGGGGTCCATTAGTGTGTCTGGAGCGAGGCAGGCGGTGGTTCCTGGCGGGAATCGTGAGCTGGGGCGAGGGCTGTGCCAGGCAGAACCGCCCCGGCGTCTACACACAGGTGGTCAAATTCACCGACTGGATTCGTCAGCAGACCAAGGGACAGGTCTGACCAATCAAACGTCTTACTCACGTGAACTACACGACAGAGCTAACGCACAGGAAGGAGGTTTCAGACCTGAAGTCTGTCTTCAGATTGTCGTCATGACGGATGGCAACACAATGAGTCAGTTTTTGGCAGTGTGTCCAAGGCATTGGGCCAGTGGGGGTATCATCCCTGTTCCAAACCTTCCTGCTTCCTCATATTCCTCAAACAACTGCAGCAATGTTGCATGGACAAAAAAGAAAAAAATCTGATCTTAAGCTGATTATCGATTCGTTTGTTTTGGCTTGCTGCATTTAAACGTTAACACTGGAATCCAAGACAAACAATGTCACTCAAGAAACTAGTCCAGCTACATAAATTGCTCGCTCTAGAGCCGTGGAAGGCTCTGCAGCCTGCAACTTGCTTTATGAATTACACTCCCAAGCTCCCATCAAGAGGCTGTTTTTTCTTTTCAGTTTTTTTACATTTGGTGAAGTTCCCTGTAAAAGTCTTCACATTTGGCACCAAACACCAGCCTGTTGCAATCACGCAGGCTGGTACGCATCAGGTTTCAGAGCAGATCTGAGGTGGGCTACATTATCCTGTGCGTGTAAATGTTGCCAATTACTTCCTGTTTTTCCATTCACAGCTACATTGTTCACTGCAGAAACAAACCATGTCCTGTGCTGCATGCAGTCTTATTGTGAAAAGAGTTCTTTCTCGAACAATACATGTAACCCTGTATTTTTGCATTACCCCGTGTACTGTATGCTACTGGATGTGTTCACAGCTCACTCTGAGTTTAAGAGTTGTTCTTGTACTGTATATGTACGTCTGTGCATTTGTATATCCCACAGTAATAGCTTCATGTGCGGTATATGCTGTAACTGTAGATAAGAGAACAGTCCATCCATAGTAGGTGCTTTTCAGTTTTACTGTGATTTAATTTATCTTAACGGTGCCACTTTTATACTTTATGTCCTATTAAAAAGCCTCCACATTAAACCTGAGGACCCAGTAAGATTACCATTACCAGACCTAAGTGAGCCTTTCTATGCAGACACTTAAGAGTTTGGTCCATTTCTCCATCCTCATTCAGCTCACCCCACCACCCAGTGGACAAGCTGTGCCATTACAATGTGCCATGTACAATATCCCCTGAAGAAATGAAGAATAAAAAAACTGCAATTTACATCATTGTTAAATAATCCATTTCCCTTTATATTAAAGACACATTATCAATGCAGAACCATCTTTTTTCTTTGTTTTTGTATCTCTTATTACATAATTTATTTGCTTTGCTGTTAAGATAAATCAATGAAATTTGCTGTTTCAGTCCACTGAATTTAATTTTGAACATTCCTGTTGCTTCAGAAATAATTAATTTCTTTTGTTTTTGTTTTTTGGGGGGTTGTTGTGGTTTTGTTTGTTTGTTTTTTACTGAAATGCACCTGTACTACAGTTTGAAGGAAACGTGAGTGACTTTCCTTTAGTGGTGAGACCAGATTTTCTCCAGTAGTGGAATGTTTGGCACCTTCCGCAGAGCACGTTTTTTTTTTTTTTTTAAATGTCGATCAGTTCACTATTCGTTTACCAATGCCTACGTGCTGATCATCCCGTTTACCAGCCCTGGGTACTGACAAGATATACGCAAGCGGCTGATCAGTGCGCATCATTTCCAGTGAAGCGTAAACGTCCCGATGGAAAATAGCGCATGTAGACTCTTGGCTTAGGAACAAAAAGTGAATGTCCAATCCGAAGTGTGAAAAATCCGAGGAAACAGAGTTTTGTTTTTTCTTATATTAGAAAAATATAACATTTAGCAGGTTTTACTACATGGGACAGCTGAAATGGGACCGCTGTTGCGCGCGCTGGGTGTGTCACTGGACGTAACGGAAGCCGTCTATCCGGTGGGTGCACTGTGGGAACAGTATAAAGCCGCACCACAATCCGAAACGATGGGAAAAAGTTGCACTGGAGCTCAAGCGCGGTGTCCTGTTGCGTGATCTCCCGCAGATAAACTCAGGAAACTGTCTCCCATTCGGTGATCCTCAGCTCAGAGCGCAGCAGTCAACCGCGCTGTGCTGCGTTTGTAGTCCGGTGGAGAGAAAAAAACAGAAGGGGGGGGGGAAAGGAGCCACAGCAGGAATACAACTTCTTTCATGCGTTATTTTATTTGAAAGCGCAAAGCTGCTTCGGAGTCTCCAGACATGATGAATTGTATTCTCTTCTCCGTGCTGTTTGGATTTTATGGTGTTCTAGCAAAAGGTAAGTAACGGTGTCAGTTTTGCAGATGTTACGGGCGCACAGAGTGCGTGCCGCAAGGATAACTGCTAATTTACACAGACCTGCGCTAATTTACAGTCAAGGAAACTTGTTTGTAATTAGAGCCAAAATCCGACGCTGTGAATCAACGTAGAAACGTTTGTAGCATGCGGTATTTTATTTCTGACTTCATGATCGTTATTTCTTGTAAACCTGACAAACCTAACAAAAATAAGTATTTCAACTAATCAAGGTAGAAAACAACAGACTGACAGCTAATCCCCCTTAATTATTGCGCTGCCGCTCCTCGTTTATCGGCTTGTTGTGTCGCCGCTGTGGCTGCGTGTCTGAAGCTGTAAACCTCCTTTTGCGCTGAGGATGATAAGCGCCATATCCCACCGGGACACTTGTTTGGATAACCGGGACCCCTGTGGCCCGGCTCCTTGCCCGCATGGCCTCTGCTGAATGGATGCGCGCAGGCGTTGTTTCCTGAAGCTAGTGAGCTTGTCAATAATATAAATGGATGAGGGGTCAAAAACTCCTCTGAGCAGGAACCCATGTGAATTTGTGCTCATTGCTCAAACAGTCGCTAGGTTGCATTTATGGAGTCCAGTGGAAGCAGTTCAAGGAATAAAAAATGATGCGTCTACAGGTGCAAAATAGAATAGAGTGGAATCACCCTTTATTGTCACTGTACATGTTCAGCGAAACTGGCATATCAAATCGTGCGTTACATTAAGAGCTTGATCCGGGACATGGCATTTTTAAAAAGTTTTGATTTAATTTAATTTAATTGTTTTATTTTGCATACGGTGAATTTTAAAAGATGTCCTACACGTGTAACGACTTATTACATCACTTCTAGTTATCCTCGACTGTTCATGTGCTATTACTCTTTAAAATTGTGTTTTTTCATTTTCCAAATGCATCATGGCGTTTGTTTTAAATCTGTCACTGAAACAAAAACTCCACCAATTATTTCCTGCTGGATGACAAGTAAAACACGCACATACATGCATACCTGTACTTAATCCATATGTACATATATAGCAGTGTAATACAGAGAAAGGAAGAAGTATAAAAAAGGTTCTGCATCAATATTTATTCAACTGAATGTGATAAATAACGTGAATCAGTGCAGAATAACTGCAGAAAAAACATAATAATAATGATTAATACATAATATAAAATATAATGCATAATCAGCCGTTCTGAAAAACACCTTCTTACACAGAACAAACTAAATTCTTCATTTATTCACACCCCGCTGTCACTGTTACCTGTTACCTGTTACATTATATTAATCAGAATTATTGGAGAGACTATTCTAGACTGGACCTCTCTATATCTGTTAGTATTTTAAAACTGATAATAAAATCATATGATCACATTTCACTACAGGTAAACAAATTCTTCATGTTGGCTGATTGTCTAGAAATCTTCAAGCTCCTGAGATATATTGCAGTGATGTAAATTTCAGCTCAAAGAGTTTACTATGTCCTCATTAATTTGTCTGAACTTCACCTTAGTATGCATCTGCATGCTTCTGTTCATGGTGCCTGAAATATTTCATTGCCCTCAGGTGTTTGTTTTAGATTCCCTGGTACGTCAGTGAAAGGAATTTTTACAAGTAATGAGCCTTTGTGGAAACTAACCACAGTACTTCCTGGTAATGGCAGTGATGTTGTAGTTAGGATTGCGAAATGCTTTCCTTTACCTGATAACACAGAAAGTCTGCTAATTAGACACTTGTTTAAACAGCTTGTTGAAAAGCTGGAGGAGATCCTTGACTTCCCCCTCCATCTTCCATTCTCCTGCCTGTGTATTTGCTGCCTCCTGTGAAACCCAAGGAAGTAGCATAGGAAGTGTTAGCAGTATGAGTAATACTAGATACTGTGCTCAATGGGGGATCCACTGGGAACAATGATGCTGACAATGAAAGGCAATAATGGATTTAAGTGATAAATTCGCTAACTGCCCTAGCAGCAGTTTAACTGCTCACAGATCAGTGGAGGTGGTTCTTTATGAGCTGCTGTGCGAGGAGGAGTCCGAGTGAAGGACGGGCTTCCCTGAATGATGTTTCCTCTGTTGTTTTGAGGAAGGAAGGGTGGACAGTCTTTATCTCTCATTAATAAACCTCAGCGATGAAGTGGAGAAATGCCTTTATTTGATAAACAAGAGGGACACTGCTTACGCATTTCCACAAAACCTCTTAAGTTTAGCGAGGAGATGTGAGCAGGGTCAGAGATGCTGATGGAGGACGTGCTGTGGAGGTGGGAATCACCCAGACTGGTTGGCATACCTTACAGGAAGTGTGTTATCTTTCAGGATTTCCCTAAAAGTGATTGAAAAGGGTTTTTCACTGTGTACGTCCCAACCACATGGACACTTGTCTCTACACCTGAATTAAGCAGTTAACCAGAGTCTACAAACTCAGTCCAGATGTACCCTTTTCACTTTGACATTTATAAGTTCTCCTTGACCTCTAACCTCTCTGGAGAGATCCATAGGTTAATAGATACTTGCTATGAGACAAACCACACTACAGGTCATTGGGTGTTGAACTGTTTCTATAAATTTACTCATCTTTTCCGCGCTCTGACCTCTGCAGATAAAGATCAGAAGGGGAGGTTCAGCGTCCCTCTCCTGGATGTCAAAACTCGGCAGCAGGTTCTGGATGCTAACCAGATGCTAACGCTCAACTGCAGGTGAGTTTCAGGTAGAGGCGGAAGCATCGTGATTTAAAATCTGTAATTCATTTTTGTAGTAAAGATGGTGGTAGAAGTGTAACTTCCTGGAGGAAAAAAGCCTTTTAAAATGTGTTCTATGAATGCAGTGTTTATGTGCTGATAGTCACTGAAATTAAAGTCAAGTTTGGATAACGTTATTAACTAACTGCCCAAAATAAGTATCCAGAAGTGTTTTGGGATGGGTGCCTGCTGCTAAGACTTAGAAGGATTTTGGTAGAGAGATCTGAGCCAGGCATCCGTAGTTTGGATAAAGGGCTGAACCTGGGTTGAGATTGAATGAGACAGTCACCATGACTGATATCTGGTTAAAGAAATCTCTTAATGAAGGCACAGAATTACGAAAACTCTTAAATAAACACTAGAACATTGAATAAAAATAAACCATCAGTTGTTGTGCAAGCACCTTACATCTTTCCCCCTACTTCTTGTTCCTCATTCTTTCCTCTCTAGCTTGAGCATCTCATAAAGCAGCTTAAAAGCATGAGTCAGTTTTTCCATTGAAACAATCTCTTCAACATTTACTAGTGATCCTTTTTCTAAATAAATTACAAGCACCTATTATTACGTGTTATTGCACGCTTACCACGTGCAGCTAAAACCGAATTAGAGTCCAATATATATCTTCATCTTCCACACACGTTGAAATCATCTTTGGATAAAGGGATACAGTTACAGTGATGTAAGCTGTAGAGGGTTACCAACTCACTGTAACTGTTGACCAGGGGTCGCTGGCAGCTGAGCTGGACGTTCCCAGCAGGCTTGGACAGAGATCAGGTGGACGTGAGTGAATCTCGCTGTGGAAGGACGAGCAAGCATTACTGCAGCCAGGTGAAAGTCAGCAGCATCCAGGCCCAGCACACCGGCCTGTTCCGCTGCAGGTACCAGGACAAACCACATAAACAGACATCCATCTACGTTTATGTCACAGGTAAGACACCGCTACCCCGGGCACTTTTTTCTTTTCTGCGTTATGTTTTTTTAATAGCTGTTTTTAGCCCGCTCATTGAGAAGCCCTTCACTCATTCACCCTGCCATGTGTATTGTTTGTAATGTCAGGTTAAACAGGATGCAGTGGGCGCTAAATACAGACCAATGCCAGTGAGCCAATTATATCTAAACACTGTTTGTCCTAACAACACATCCTTCTAGATGACTCTGGCACAGTTTCACTGCCCTCCTCCCCTGCCTCCCCCTTTTCTCATCCCAGGCCTACCTCCTTTTTGTCTATATATAAATTCTACTACTTCTTCTTCTTCTTTTTTTTTTTTACTTTCGTTTACGTGCTACTTCGAGGCCAGGAATAGCCCAGCTGCTGAAAGGCTCAGGCCCGGGCAGAGTTTCCCAGGGCATCAGCCTTATCTGCTCTGCTCAGCCTTGCTTGAAGCATCCTGTGCTTTGGGAAGGAGGGGAAGGGCTCGAAGGGGGTGTGCTGGGAGGGAATGTCGCTGTGTCTCTACAAGGTGGTGGCAGGGCGGTGTGTGGAAGTGTGTGTGTTTGTGTGTGTGTGTGTGAAGAGCTGAGAAGGATAAGATGAAGGGCAGTAGCTCAGGGGCAGAGGAGGCATGATGTCTGCCCAGCCAGCTCCTCCCTGTCCTGGAAGGTGACGCTGCTCAGTCTGCGCAATTATGAGGCAGAGTTGGGCTGGAAGCCAGGGTCACAGGGCACATTACTGTTTAGCCAACAGGACCCTCGGGAGCCATCAATCGCTCAGGTCACCATGTCCATTAAGCGTCAGACTTGGCCTGCAGCTCTGCTCAGACATTTGCCTCCCTCCCCGACTTCTCTATTAGGAATCAAAGCAGAAGAAGGAAGCCTCCAGGCTACTAGTCCTTGGGGTACTTTTGTTTGAATGTTCAGAGATTTGCTTTCCTTGAATAACACCCTATGGTCACAAACAATACAGCGAGCAACACCCACACCTTTGAATGGCACAGCGCTTTTACAGTAGTCGAGCCGAGAGGAGAAACACATGGAGAGCCGTTTGATTGCCTCCAAACAATCTGAGTGTTTATCGCTGACTACAGACAGTCATTTGCTGAATGGGTATTCAGTGAATGTTTAGGAGTGTGTGTCTGTTTGCTTTTGTTTGTTGTTGTTGAGACTGATATTGGAAGTGTGTTTGTGTGTGTGGGTGTGTCTTGTGCAAAGAGGCAGTTTCTATATATGTGCATGACTTTAAAAGTTGGCCCAAAATGATGAAAGGGATCTAAAAATGTGGAAACAGCAAGAGGAGTGATGCAAGAGCTTGTTTGGAAATTTATTTACGGGCCTGTCTTTCACTTTATACATGCATCATTAATGGGACCAGGATGCAATATGAAATGAATGCTAGCCAGTCGAGAACAAAACCAGGAACAAAAGGTCCAGATTTTCTGCTAGATTTAACAGACAGGTAGCCACAAAGGAGCCACTCTGCTAACGCATAATTTTAACCTTGACTCCCCCAATATTTTTTTTAACATATCATATGTAAGAAAGAGTCTTTATTCATGCATTTATTTTACACACTTAATATTGTACAATATGTGTCCCTGACCGCAGTGTTTGGGTTTCAGACAGCCAGCAGCTATTCGTGGAGGATGCAAATATGAGCCCAGACGTGTTGTACCTGAAGGAAAAGGAGCCACTGGTCATCCCCTGCCGGGTCACCAGCCCCAACGTCACCACAGAACTAGTAAAGGTTTGTGCAGGAGATGTGCTTTTTATCTATCAAGTGACTGAACACCTTTTAAATTTAATGCACTGTGCATGGGTGCAGAGACCTGCTCTGCATCACGATCCATGTTCTGATTGTGTTTGGGCACTCGTGTCACACTTTGTACTTCTTCGCTCAATCGCTCACGTTCTGCTCTCTGCACATCATCGTTGCTTTGCCCAGTTTTTTCAATCAGGCCTCACATATGCACGCGATATAGTGTTCAGTCATGTCTCCCTGTCCAGATCATTCGCCACATTGTTCTTATCTTGGCAGCCATTGCACTGTGGCGTGTGTGTCCGTTTGTTTGTGTCCGTCTGCGGATATGTGTGAAAGTGTGTGCGGATATGTTTGTGAGTGTTGGCGCTCGAGTGCTGAGTGAGGGGGAGAGCAGAGAGAGTAAAAGTGCAAACTATTTGCGGGTTAATCAAACGTGATTCCCTGCTCATGTCTTTAACATCTCTACCTGTTTTTGAGGGTTTTTACTGGGAACCACTGTTGGCACTGTTTTTACCTCTGGAGACAGGACATGGGGTCTGGAGTGCCCCACTGGCCACTGGCCAGCACCATTTCCCACATCTCACCCTCTACATCTTGTAGTAGGAACACTGGCTGCCAACTTCCTCCAACTGATGCTTTAAACAGCTGGACAGCCTGGTGGAGGAAGCAGAGGTGGCTACTGTTGGCCCCAATAGATCAAAGTAGAGTCTATTCTCTTTAATCAGGAGCATTCGTCATTAAAATGACGGTTTGTGCGTCACTATTGGAAAATGATATCTACAGTCAACAAGTTATAAAACATACAGTACTGGCTCAGGTCGAGACAGTGAAAGAAGGCTAAGTAAGTGTTGGTTATTCTGCTTTTGGATGCACAAAACAGAAAGAATACATTGAAGATTAAAGGCAACCTCAGCAGTTTAGTACTGCACTTACAGTAAAGACACAGATTAGAAAGTGTGTAAAATTAGTCCAGCAGCAGCAGCAGCAGCAGCATGGATTTATCTTTTTTTAAAGTCAACTACACCTTTCATCATGAAAATGTCATGTTCATCCATCCACTCTTTGTTAAGCCCTTTAATTTCCCTCCATCTGCATTTGTGGAGGTCAGTGGCTGAAGCAGACTTTAATGCCAAAGTAAGAAATAGTTCTTTAGATATTCTCTGTTTGGACCAGCACACCCAAAGCACTGACACATTAACAAAAGAGAAATATGAAGGAATTTTAGATTCTTGTGATTTAGAACACAGGAAGTCCAAAAAACTTGGACAAACTAAGCCGTGCATGTCACATCCACATTTGTCCTGCCTCCATCTCGGTGCTTGGATCAGCTAAGGTAATTATTCTAAAAATAGCTGTCCTCTTCTTCCTTGATATCCCTCCTCTTCCCCTCCAGTTTCTGGTCATAACCTGGAACCCACTCGCTGTCACTGGAGTGTTTTTTTCCTGGAAGGACTTTGCACTTTGCCTGCTTGTCTAATATGACCCTTCTCGAGAAGAACAATGCGCAGGAGGTTCTGCTCTCTCGCTCTAGCCGTGAAAGTGACCGGGAGGTGCGGGATCACGGGGTCGACAAGTCAAAAGTCTATATCCTGTAGTAACAGGATGCAAGGAGATGGACTGGAGTCACGTTTTTCATATCCTGCCTGACTCTTTTGCTCCTCCCCTTTTCCCTCCACTTTTTTCTTCATTTTTACCGATTCTCAGCATAGACACTGGAGTAAGAATGGCACACAGGGTGCTAGAGCTCACCGGCTGGGTGTCAATGAGTTCAGAAGAGGAAGAAGTGAGGAAGTATCTATTTTAAAGGCCTGGGACAGGAGAAGGAAGAGCTCAGTGCTGTCTCGGGGGGGTCACATCACTCTGGGAGGGGGATATCAACCAGTTCACATCAGGGGTGCACGAGAGGGGGAAACTGTTTGTGTGTGATGCTGGTGGAGGAGGGCTCTACCTGTTCCCTCGGGAGAGGGTGGGAGGCTTCCACCATGTCACAGAAACTCTAGTAAACATTTCCTTGTAGCAACTTCCAAGAAAACAACAAGGTTGTTCAGTTATACAAGGTAGACAAGAATTATAAAACAAACCCTGTGGGATTATAGGCAGCCTCATTCTCCTGGAGGTCTTTATCTGAAAGAAACTGCACAGCATCCCAGAGGACTTATTTCCCCCAAGCCCGAGGATGATCTGTCCATTGAAGTGAAAACAAAAGCTCAAATGACATCAAGTGCATGAATTTCTTGTTCAGCAAACTTTTGGTTGTTGCTGCGTGATTGCCTGGCAGCATGACCACAGCATGAAGAAACTGGAGCTTCCAAAAACCTGCTGGGGCTCAAGCTGAACATGCAAACTCCTCACAGCATGGATCCACCTGCTGTGAATCAACGGCGCTAACCGCAGAACCAACATGATCCCGGCACCTCTACTTTTGTTTTTAAAAACATTGCTTTGAGAAAAACGTCCAAAAGGAGGCTTGACTTGGACTTTTAGGAGTTTTAAAGTAAAGGTTGATTTCCAACACCTGTTCAGGAGCTTTTTATCATGTCCCATTATCAGTTGTATGAATACATTATTTGATGTCTATCTTCAGATAGATTTAACACAAAACTGTTTCACATCTAATACATAATCTGAATTCCTACTTGTTTTCTGGAGCAGGCAGATGCCTCTGACTCAAAGCAAAAAAAAAAAAAAGCCAAGTCACTGTTGCAAATGACAAATAGTCACAAATTACAGTTATTGTACTCGAGGTACAAGCAGGTTCTTTCCACATTTGTAATTTATCATGTGTTCACATTTCAAAGTTAATCACCATGACTTGTATCTTGTATCTTGAGCCATGACAATTGTTTGTTCAGTGTGGTTAAACTGTGTCATCGCTTCTGTGCTGTAGACTGTGGTGCAGTCAGACATGTGATAGGCGTTGTTTTCTCCTTGCCTCTTTCACAGTACCGCAGCCACAGCTTGAGTCCAGACCAGAGGAACATTATCTGGAACAGCAGGCGAGGCTTCACAATCAGATCTCCCACCTTCTTTTACATCGGCCTCTTCTTCTGCCAGACCACTGGTGACATAGTCCGACACCAGTCACGCAGATATTTTGTACACAGAATAGGTCAGCAAGCTCTTTCTGCACAACTATATAAACCACGCGTAAACATGTATGTGTGCATCAATGGTTTTTGTGCAAAATCCCTGATATTCTACTTATTTTTGTCTCAGTGAATAAAATCAAAGATGTGCGTCTGAACAGCAGTGAACATACGCAGGCCTTAAAGGGACAGCGACTGGTCTTGAACTGCTCTGCCACTGCAGAGTTGAACACCAGAGTCAACTTCACATGGGACTACCCTGGAAAGGTCAGAGCTACTTTACAGTCTCTGGAGATGAAAGAAGCACATGTTTAGACGAAAAATTACCTTTGATAGGGAAGAACCAACTTCCTGCCTCACTTCGCAAAATATATATTCTATCAGCCAAGCATGCTACATCTTATACTCAAGTAAACGTCTTAGAGATTCTATTCATATTTATTTTGAAGTGTAAAATAAGTGGAAGGTATGTAGGTAACACAAAAGCACTGCCTGTGCAAATGAAATCCCCTTTAGGGTTGGTAAATGTCTTTCATTTTATACTCTATTAGTTAGGGCTGTAATTAATGGCGTTATTACTGATTTATAACAAGTGCATAACTCTTTCCCTTGCACAATCAAAAGATTACCCTTCAGTGTTAATCTCATGGCTCTTCTGTCATGTTATCCTGCAGAGTATCAATGCCGGCTCAACTTTCAAAAGGCTCGTGAAGCATCAAACAGAAATGTTGTTCTACAGTATTCTGACCATCCCGAAGCTCCAGCGTTCAGACCGAGGCCGCTACACGTGCCGCGTCACCAGTGGTGATCAAAGCCAGCACAAACAAGTCAATGTTATTGTCTATGGTGAGTTTCCTCCACTGACCCATCCCGACATTCAGGAAATTCACCGGCAGTCATCTGCCCGGATTACTCATTCCAGTCATGATTGCTTAATTTTTTAAAGTTTCTGTGACCAGCGCATTCTTTATCACAGGCTCCAGAACGTCACAGCGGTTTCCAAAATTTGACATCAGCTTTTTTAATGCACATTTTTCCCTCATTTTCAGACCGACCATTTATCAACCTGAAACCCAGAAACGGACTGGTGATGATGGTGCAAGCAGGAGAGAAATCTTATAAAATCTCTCCCAAACTGCGAGCATTCCCGGCCCCAAAAGTCATTTGGTAAGTGATCAGAAATACTCCTGTATCCTCACAAAATTTGTGACTTGAGAGCTTCTTCTTTAGTGTTCATACCTCTCCAGTGTTTTTTTTATTTATTTACGCTTTACCTCCTTTAACCTGGAAGCTTATCTCAGCTAACTTCTTAATTTCTTGGAAAGAGGGAATGACTTCCCAATAAAATATGACTCATCAGCACTTTAAGTATTCCAACTTATTTCCTTCCCTGCAACTTTGTTTCATCCTTCACACACTACCTGAAGCTTTTCGGAAACATCCCTCCTCTCCACTTTACTCAGAGGTCTATTTTTTTTTCCTGGCAGGCTGAAGGATGGCACGGTTGCAGCAGAGCAATGCTCCAGATACCACATGAGTGGAAATTCCCTGGTTATCCGGGATGTTGCAGAAGAGGATGCTGGGAAGTACACGGTCCTCGTACGAAACCAGGAACACAGACTCTACCAGAATCTCACACTCACACTTGTGGTTAACGGTGAGAAACAACAACAACAAAAATACTTCTTCAGCTCTAAATGTCCTGTCCTCAGGACATTAAACCTCACTTTTTTATCATGTTTATCTCGGTATCATCTCGTCTTGCAGTGAGTCCAAAAATAGGGGAGAAAGCGGTGTTGCTGCAGGACCCGGGCTCCGTACCACGGGGGAGCAGACAAGCCCTGCGTTGCACATCCCACGGAGTCCCTCCTCCACACATCCAGTGGCTTTGGCATCCCTGTCCGTCTAAAGGCCTGTAAGTACCCAGAACATCACAACCTTACCAGCACTAAGCACTAAAGCACTAAACTAATTTATAAAATCCATTAAAATGTATAATTTTCTATACTTTATAAATTCTTAAATAAAGATAGCTGGTTTCCTAGTATGCACATAATTGACCAGAAGAACAATATAAGCCAAATATAAAAACCATACAGCTATACAGAGCTTCAAGTGCTTTTATTATATTAAAATCTGGCACCTCAGAAATTTACTTCACATACTGTGCATAATTAATCTGCAAAAATGTAAAAAAAAAAAGGAATATATATTTTTTTTTTTTACCTTTTTGGCTGCAAGGTTAAAAATATTAATAATATTATATCACTTCATGTGCACATAGAATAAATAATGATGTTTCTTTTATGTTACTCATTGGAGTGTGTGTGTGTGTGTATGTGTGATTTTTTTTTTTTTTTGTTGTAAAACGAGACATGTTTTGTCTATTTCTGCGTGTGTTCAGACAGCGTTTCCTTCTTGTAACCAGAACAGATGCCTTTGGGGGCCTTTCATGTGCAGGAATGTGTGAAAATGTGTGTGTGTCTGTGTGTGTGTTTGTGTGTGTGTATTTCATCGGCCCAGTGTTTGCATGTTTGTTTGATTGTGCAGCTCTTTCTCATATTTTTGTTCTCTTACTGTCCATGTGTCCTTTCCATATGTTTGTTTAAGTTCATACAAATCTGCATCCTATGTGTGTGTGTGTGTGTGTGTGTGTGCCTGGTACATTCACAAACACAGTACACGTTGTATCTCAGACTTGAAAGGACAGAGAAAAAAAACACACTTCAATAGCAGCCAGTTCCGTGCTCTCAGTCACGATTTGTTGGTTTCCAAATCAAACGCTATGATTTAATGAATTTCCTGTCCAGGAGGCAGGGTGAGAGGCCTGTTTATTATTGTGATTGCACACTGCATCCTGTGATGCTTTTTCTTATATCTGACACACACTCAATATACAAAGTTCTCATGAGAAATGGCCCAGCCCGATGAAGCGAAGGGACAGTCAGCCTTAAACACACGCCAGTATCCAAGCAGGCATTTTGGCAGAAACATTGATTGAGCTGCTCTCGGAGGTCAGACACGTATTGTGTTCCTTACGAACAAGTCAGAAAGGTTAAGTATTACCTGAGAGCACCACAGCAGCTGCCCACGCTCTTTTGCCCCCTGAGACACACTGACATCATAACTGTACTTGACCCTTAACCCTGGCACTCTCACAAGGCGCCACGCCAATCAATCTCATCCAAATGCCAAAAGTTATCTACATAATGTACATTAGGATTGTCTCAGGCCGCCTGGCAGCGCCAAAGTATGCAATCTTCAGTGTCAGAGTAAATCCAGGTCAAGTGATGTAAGCTCTTTTGTTCATGCCGTTTATTGTATGTGTGACAGCACCTTTGTCTTGTTTCACAGTAAGATGTCAGATGCAATCTGCACATGTGAGAAATTTGGCAAAGCCCAGTTTTTAATCATCACTTAGATGAATAATTCGACTTTAAGCCATTTTTATTCCATTAATATAATGTGATTTGTAGCAGTATTGTAATTACATAAACAAAGAGGCATAAAATAAACAAAAAGGCTGTATTTCCCAACAAAGTAGAACAGCAGAAGTTATAGTAGACCTAAAAAATGAGTCAAGCATGTTTGCACAGTAATTACACTGCAGATTACATTTGGCTTCTTAACTGGCTGCCTCACGGTCCTTTGTAAAGCTCTGTTCTGGTTCAGCTTCAGTGTCTGTGCTGATTGTATTTCTTTGGACTGGTACTTTTGATTGGATCCTCACTGGGCCCCTTGTTCTTTGCAGCCCGGCTGCACCACCACAAGCCTGACGCCGTGCTGGAGGAGGCCCAGGGACAGTGGACCAGGCTGGGCCAGGCTGACGGGGGGCCTCTCGCCTGGGTCCTGGGTCCACTGCTGGGTCTGGCCCTGGGAACTGCAGCGCTCTTATCTGGCCCGAGCAGGAGGTGCATTGGGCTTCCTGTGCAAAAATCAGAGCGCTTTTCCTCTCGTTGTTTGGCTTCCTCTCCGACTCGAGGCGCTTCCCAGCGGCGTGATTGTCCCTTCGTCTTCAAACGTGGCACGGCCCGCTTCCTCAAGAGCTTGATCTATTCTTGAGAGCACCCCCACACCCCTTCCCCAACTCGTCTGCCCCCTACACATACCTCTAAACCCCCTTCCATCACCAGCCCTGACCTGCACCACAACCCAGCATCCTTCACATTTACAAAAGAAAAACTCCCCATCACCTCCCACTCTGGAGCCCTCCCCCTACATCACCGCCACCTCCACACACTCATCGGTGCCTCTCGACAGCAGCCAAAACCCTCAGTGACATCATCAGTGATCCATAGTGACAATCGCAAGCTCGGTATACTGGAAAATGAGTAAAGTGACTTGGAACACTGCTGAGCAGTGACGACCAGGAGATACAAAAAACCAGGAGTTATATACGCCACAACACTAAGGATATAAGGACACCTGCTTCACTGATTATTTATTTCCTTCCTTTTTCCAGTTTAAGTCTCCCCGCTACACCAGGCTGTCCTGTAGTTCGATGCTTTTTATATTTCACAGACATTTGAGCCAGAAAAAGTGCAATTCCACCCATCCACCAGCCACATTTCTGGAGCTGCTTTGCTTGTTTTTTGTGTCCTAGAGTGGTACTAAAATGGGTGCATGAACCGTGCCTGCCTGTCCCAAGTCCCGATCTGATTTTGACATCCAAAAGAGAAAACGAGAAAAAGCTGTGAGTTTCTGTTGCGATTTTTTTAACCACCAGTAGAAGATCAGTGTGCTTACCTTGGACGGGCGAAAAAGGAGAGAGGACATGCTTTGTGCTGTTCACTATGGGATTCCTTCAGTTCTCTATTAACAGACGAAGTGTCTGCAGATACCTACCATGTAGGAAGTCTGAGAAGGCCAGAGACGATCCTGTGTCGATCCTGTGTCGCTCACTATCATCCCATATCAAAATGTCTCATTTATGTGTCATATGGTGTCAGTATAACAGCCCTGTTGTCTTTGTATCAGAAGTTAATTAAAATCTAAGTGTATGCGTGATACTACAAGCCATTTTATGAGAATGAGTAGCATAAGTGTTTGAATAAAGTCCATTGGTGCATGTGAGCGTAAAGAGGGTGACAGTGTGTGTGCTTGCGCACAATTGTGTATGTGTGTGCGCGTGTGTGTGTATCCTATTCTACGGGTGTCTGCTAATGTGATTAATTGCTTGTATACAGATGTTCTATGAGTAATATATGAATCTAATATTTAATAATTTTATACAACTAACTTACATATGACAATATTTGACTCTGTATGACTCTCTTAAGCTGTACTGAAGTGTTATATCAGTTGTTTGTGTTTTTTTGCATTAAACCTTGCTTATATTTGTGTATTCGTTTACATGCGCCGCGGTTATTTTGGGGGGTTGGGGGCTCATACAGGAACACACAGTTGCAGCAGTAAAAGTGTATTTTAAGCAACATAACAGGAAAGGAAGAAAAGGCAGCAGATGACCCCTCTGATACACAACTCGAAGCAGTCCGTTCATATACCCAAGCAGCCGCTGCTCACCCTGTTTGCAAGCACACACTGTGTGAATGTGGTGTGTCTGCGTGCATATATAGAAATTTATACGTGTTCATTTTCTGTGTCTAACCATGTTCATGTTCACGCATCCATCTAACTAATTCTGTGTGTGTGTGTGTGTGTGTGTGTGTGTGTGTGTGTGTGTGTGTGTGTGTGTGTGAGGGCGACTTTGAGTCAGAAAGTGTTTCCTGAGAGGTGTGGGAGTATTAGCTGGGTGGTATGGTACTGTAGGTGTGGGTGTCTGTGTGCATTCGCATAGCATGTGTGTGTAAGGCCCTTGGTGTCATGCACAGGGTGGGTCGCTTGTGTAACTCGCACACTATCTCGATGCCAAGAGGAAGAGCAATCAGTGAGCAGAGAGGAACCGAAGACAGGGAGGAGCTCAGGGCAGACAGAAAAAGATGACGACAAGGATACAGACAGAGACAGAGAGGTGAGAGGAGGGGGGCAGTGGCACATCCATAAACAGGCAGAGCATCAGTGAACAAAGTGGAAGTGATCGTTTACAAGCAGGAGGAGAGTTAATGTCTTAAAAAAAAGGAGGGGGCATCCTTTTATAAGGTAGCTGTTTTATAAAAATAAAAAAGAAATCACCCCTGCACACAAAGTCCAGGTTTGTTTATTTCTGCTGCAAAATTGGCCATTTAGACATGGGAGTCTACAGGGATTCACTCACCTGTGGAGCCAGCCTCCAGTGGGTATGTGAGGAAACTTCAGTTTTCAGCCCAGTGGCTTGGTCTGCAGGTGCGCACCAGATTTTTCACATTAAAAATGTAATTCTGTAATAACAGCTAGTTTTAAAAAGCTTTTATAGTTGAATTTAGAAACTAAACGCACCCTTATTATATTTTTCTACGTATTTAAGTAACGCTTCTTCACTATTTAGGCTGTTTGTGTGCAGCCAGATGATCACCTGCAGTGTACTGAAAGTGAGGCACAAACAGGAGAGCTTGAATCTGTGGAGGTGAAGTCTGTACTTGTTGTGCTGAGGTATGTGAGCTACAAATACCTCAGCTTAAGACATTAACATTTGTAAGTTACTGAGAATTTATTCATTGCTCAGGATTTAAATTAACATTTAAACTGGCTTCACATTAGTGGTTGACATGAATAATTAACAGTTCAGTAAGTGTTAGCTTAATCACTTGAAGTCAGTTTTTTTTGAACAGGAACATACACTTACACGTAAACAGAGAACATAGTAAAGATCATAAGTGAAAAACATTAGTCAGAAAATTTGAATAAAAACACAAATAAATTTTACCAATGATAAAAAACTGACTGTAACAGAAAAAAATTATAGTGAGCTCAACCAAACCGAGAGACACCTCAGATTTGACTAAAATACCTAAAAATCTAAAAACAGTGAGGTATTTAGAGGTGATTTAACATTGTCAGCTGAACAGCTTCTTCTGTGGGAAGGTACGCTGTTTCAGAGCCCAAGGGCAATAACCTCAAAGGTCGCCTTTAGCTTTTACGTGAGGGCAGTGAGGGAAGTCATTGGAATGATGACCTCAGTGACCTGGAGGCAAAATACTGAGTTAAAAGATCAGTATCGTGGAGCTAATCCATTGTTTAAAATCTATTCAAAACTTCACAGGCAGTCAGTGCGGCCGAGTTAAAACAGGAGTGATCTGCTGCAATTTGAGCCTTCTGCAAGCGAGAGAAAGTGGAACTGGGCAGTAGCTGTCCAGCTGGGAGACGATAGAGGATAACACACGCAGGACTTTTCCGGATCAGTGACAAATTAAATGTGAGAACAAATAAACTGAATCCACCGGAGATCTAATCCGTGTCACACTTTGGTTTTCTGTCTCTCTGCAAACAGACTCATTTCCCCTTTAACCTCCTGGCGTCCACATATGTGGACATCATATTTTGGGTTATTTAGACCAAAATACTCAATTTTGCTCTGCAAGGGCCTGATACCCACTTACAAGGACATTATACTGCTACTGTTCTATCGAAATTTTAAATGAATATCCTCATATGTGGCTCTCATTTTTCTTAGAAACAAAGATTAGGTTAAAAAAAGAATCTAGTAATTCTTTGTTTTTACATTGATCAGGTCCCAATCAGCCCAAATATCAAAGAGAAATTAAAAATGCATGCAATGAAGAGTGGAGGTTAAACAAGCAAAATTGTATTCACTAGATGAAATGAGGGTGCAATATTTTTTTTCACTATAATATAAAATATTTTAGATATTTTGTAATAACATCTACACGTTTTTTTAAAATGAAAAAGTAAATCTCAACACAAATAATTAGCAAGCATAAACGTTGCACGTTTGTAAAGGTTGCCTTTTTCACATGAGGCATTGTAAGATATTTATTAAAATCTGAAAAGAATATATAAAATAAAAATAGTAAACTTTAGAAAAAATATATGATTGACTATATGGTCCTTTGAAACTTCTGAGGATTTCTTTGCTTGTTGATTTACAGAAAAAAAAAGAGAAAAAAAAGAATGATAAATCTGATTATAGCGTGGGTTTTACTCACTGTAATGAGTTGTTTTCAATAGCAGGTCTGGACCAGAGTGGCAGCGCAACTACACAATTAGCTTGTTGCAATCTGGTTTTGCAAAAATTTGGCAAGATCATCAAATCCATTTTAATTTGACTCTGAGAAAGTGGCACCGCTGGATATATATATGTATATATATATAGTTTTTTTTTTTAATGTTTCAGTGTTAACCTGAATATGTGGGCGCAGAGACAAGCTGTGTTAACTGATAGTTGTTTTCAGAGGTGCAATGATTTCAAACTTGTTTCTAATGTAGATCAGACTTTCAGTTTTGCTTTTTGCTCAGTACTGAAAGTCTGCGCTTACTTGTTTTTTTTCTTAATGAAACTCCCCAGTTCTTTGTAATTTCATGTTGAGAAACATTTTACATTGCTCTGTGCACACACAGTCTTTCACAGAGTAGTGAATTCCTCCACATCACTCCTAACATTACAGGTTTCACCAGCGTTGCTAGCGTTGCGTAACTTTTCCAGTGTATTGTTGCCTCACTGTCAATTTTTTTGAAACGTTTTACAGAACTGTGTGACTGTTGGTGCTGAATTTAACAATTTGCTCATCTTAACCATTTATTATTGAATTCCATCCATCCATCCATCCATTCGCTTCCGCTTATCCTTTTCAGGGTCGCGGGGGGCGCTGGAGCCTATCCCAGCTGTCATAGGGCGAGAGGCGGGGTACACCCTGGACAGGTCGCCAGTCTGTCGCAGGGCCAACACACAGGGACAAACAACCATTCACACTCACATTCACTCGCACATTCACACCTAATGGCAATTTGGATTTTCCAATTAACCTATCCCCACTAACTGCATGTTTTTGGACGGTGGGAGGAAGCCGGAGTACCCGGAGGGAACCCACGCAAACACGGGGAGAACATGCAAACTCCACACAGAAAGACCCCGGCCTGATGGTGGAATTGAACTCAGGATCTTCTTGCTGTGCGGCAACAGTGCTAACCACCGTGCCACCGTGCTGCCTATTTATTGAATTCCGTTGAATTCTATTTATTTAGAGCCAAATCACAACAACAGTTGCTATGAGCAATGAAAAGGAAACACCAGACTCGGGGAGGGGCTGTTAGGTTGAGGGATGGAAAACAAACAAAGGCACGCTGTGAAAGAGAGCCAGATTTTAATAATAATGAAATGCAGAAATGTGTATTAACACAGAGCGAGTGAAACAGGTGACTGAAGAAGAAACACTCAGTGCATCATGGGAGTCGCCCAGCAGCCGAGACCTATTGCACCATAACTAAGGGAGGACTCATGGTCACCTGATCCAACACTAACTATATATCCTAATATAGTGCATTTTTTTTCTGTTTTCCACTGATAAAACTGTTTAACGATTCTATAAATCACAGAATTTTGGATTATTTTAATTTATACATCCTTCTATATTTAAATTGTGGACCAACAATCAAACAGAAGCCATACTGTTGTGTTTTTTTCAAATGTGAGCAGCTTGCCTCATAAATGCATCATCCTTCACTTAGTTTCAGTTCCTGAGAGGTGACATTATTATTGTTTGAATCTTTCCTAAAATGCAATTCACATGACATTTCATCTGGTTTGATGCACCTTAGAAATTCAAGCTACCAAAGCAACAAGAAGCACAAATCATTTTCAGAGACAGCAAACTTCAACAGCATTCAGATAATAAATCCTTTAAATGTTTGTTTGCTTTTAAGCAACGCTTGAATGCAGTGTGACTGTGTTTTCTCCAGAAACATCACTTATATAGTAGAAATAATTATATCCATGCATTTCTAAATATTTAAAATTTTGATCTGAATAGTTAACATTTTGAATAAGCACAATAGTTATTATTTCTACCAAGAAGTTTATGCCTGTAGGTCGGCAAACATGATCGGTCAGAAGGTTTTGAATGAATTCTGATAAAAATTTTGTGTCCATTAAAGACAGGCGTACATCCACCAATGTCTTCAAAGTCAACTTAATGATTTATTGGTCAGAATTTGAAAAATAACTTGTAAACTTATAAAAATAAACTATGATTCTTACAACTGTAGTGTGTTGTCACGGGTTCATATGTCGTGTCACATTTGACCTTTGATCTCTCCTTTAAGGGTTAATAGAGCGATCTGAAGGTCAAAGTGATTATAATGTTTCTTACTGTCGTTCTTTGTACTGACAGCATCCAGGCACATAAGGTATCACGTATGAAAATTATGTTATTATGACTTTGTTATGTACACTGCAGTAATTGTTTAAGTAATGAATCATTTGAATACATGTACGATTTTTCTGAATATGTTTTTTGGGGTTGTTTTGGTAAACAAGATCAATTTATGGTCAAAATCTTTTTTCACATGATATATTTTGATAAACATTTAAACAAATTTCAGTAAATTACTCTAAATGCATATATTATATAGAAATAAAAAAAATCATACTCAAAATTATATCAAGTTTATTAAAATAATGAAATCCTGCACTTATTTTTACTACACTGGAAACACCTTAAAGTGTGTTTAAGAAGGAAACAAAATTAATATCTACAGATTACGATACTATTAACATCATTATTATATTGCAAAGAAATAACTCACTCCTGGTTGTATTTTTGTTTCTCTTTACATCACATCATATTTGATCTAGATAATTTCACTTCATGAATTTTGCATTTAGCATTTCTTACACAGACTAATTACAAGAAATGGAGAAAAAAACCCAAGCGATGATCTTCTCTCCTAGAGTTGCGAAACTAACTGATCAAGCAGTCTATGTGTATTAAGGCCCCACCCAACTCTTGTATAATTTAAGAATTTTTTCGTCATGAGGTGATGTGCGTAAATAACCAAAAAGCGTCTTGCATAAGCTCAAGTTCCCACAGCTCCTCCGATGTGTAATCTATGGATTTAAACTTGCAAGAGTCATTGAGGGACAGGAACTCGTGTCCTGGAAATGTGGGCTAATTTGTTAAGAATAGAAGGAAGTTAATCGGCAGGATGACAATACCACCTCTGCATCCTTCATAGATGAACAATCCAACATTACATAGCACTTCAAAGATCCACTATTGTCAGCTTGCAGGGCAGGGAAAGACGACATGAGGCTATTGACAAAAATGTGGTGATAGTAACGATGATGTGATTCATGGTTTAACATCAAGCAGCAGCTGTCAAAGCGTTTTCCTGATGTTCTGCTCTTCCTCCTGCTGAGCACAGCTGAGAAAAACACTCGCACACCTGGAAGCAGCCAAAAATTATTTTTGTCAAACACAGCTGAGTCCCTCTCTTCCTCCGCCTTCAAGGTGTGTGTGTCCCACGTCTTCCTCACTATGGAGCCCTGTGACAGAGAGTCTTCCCGCCTCGTTTACACACAACCACATCCTGAGTGTTACGCACAGAGAGGAAGTGCTTCGGGGGAAGAAAAGGGTAAGTAAAGAACAGAAATACACACTGGGACTGACAGAAAAGCTGTGATACATTATTGTAGAAAATAAGCTTAAAAAAAAATCCCAGTTTGCTCTATAGGAAAAATTTCATGTCCAAATTCTGGCATATTCCTTTCCTGCAGGTGCACTAATCCAAAAAAGAGTGTGCATAATATTTTAAACCTCTTATTAAAGGGACACTCCACTGCACACGCTTGCAGGTTCCCTCGTAGTAAAGTCTCTCCCGCACACACTTAGAGCTTCTCACCTATAATACCAGTGTTGACCTACTAAGTTGGAAATGGGCAAGAGGTCTGGCTCAGAGACCGCTATTGTCTTCTTAGTGAGCCCATGGAAAACATGATTCCTGCCATCAGTGGCAGAGGTAATGAGCCTGAACTTTATGAATGTGGGTGTTTTTCATAATGTCCTAAGTGCCGGTTTGTTCATGCGGATGTTTGTGCTCTCCATAGACGGTGGGGGTCCTGACTGTCGCAGAGGCCTTTGTGTCTGGAGTGTATCGCTGCATCGCCTCCAACTCTGCGGGGGCAGACCAGCTAGACATCCACTTCTACATCACAGGTGATCCCAGACAAGATCAATCATTGTGGGAGTTTTCTTTCCTTATTCCCACATCATAAACATGGAGTAAAGCTTCTGCTTGATCCTTTGTACATTAACTCGAAGTCTCTTTATGCAGAGCCTGCATGTTCCCAAAATAGAAACACCAAACTATCTTATACTTATTTGATTATTTTACCCATTCAAATATATAGTTAGATTTCTTTTAGTTTTTTGCAGATTTGACTCTGCACACCACTATAGTGGAATTTCAAACATTCAAGATGAAACTGCAGAGCAGACTCTCAGATTTAATTCAGGGACTTTAAAAAGGTATTGCATGAATTGTTTAAAAATGACAGCTTTTAACACAAGTCCACCCTTTTTTAAACACTCAATTAGACAAACTAACATAATCTTAAATATAAGGATTGTTTTTAATATTTGGATAAAAAACCATCTGCAGTCAGTGACTCTCTGTAGTGTAGAACCCATGAACATCACCAAATGTCCTGTTTTCGTCCCTAAGATGCTTTGCCAGGTCTGCAGCTGCCTTCAGTATGTGGGTCTCTGTGCCTTCAGTTTTGTATTTAATACATGTGAAATGTGCTCTGTTGGGTTGAGATCAGGTGAATGACTTGGCCACTGAAACATATCCCATTTCTTTGACTTAAGAAACTCTTGGGTTGCACTGTCCAATCAGTTTTGTGCCGTTTGGCTGAATCAGAGCAGAGAATAGAACCCTGTACACTTTACAATCCATCCTACTACTTCTAGCAGCTCTCACATCATGAATGTACAATAGTGGCTTAATTCCTTTGGCAGCTATACATTACTATTCTGTCACGAGTGGCTTAAAAGCTGTGACACATAATCAGACCATTAGTCAAGTAAAACAACAAAAACATTTTATTTGAATTCAACAAAACTCAATGAAGTTACAAAGGAAAAAAAACATTCCTCAGTCAGTAAGTGAGTAGTGTTGGCATGTTTGCTTTTTGCCTAACGTGGTGAGTGAAATGTTGTTTGGGTAGAGAGAAAAGGAAAAAGGTCGAGTTGTTTTTCCCCCCGAGGGAGCAAATGGAGTGCGCGTATATACTGGTGAAGACTGGGCCGAGGTGTTCCCAGTCACTAATAACTCAACCACACCCGCTGTGCATCTCTAACACAAAACACACAAAGACAACCTGCCAGCCCAGCAACCAAAAGAGGCAGGTTCATCACATTGTCTCCACTATGTTTGACAGATGATGCGGTAAACTTCATGAGCTGTTTTCTCTTCATTCTGGTGCAAGTTTAACTTGGTTTTAATTTTTCCAAAGATCTTTTTTTCACCAGTGCAGGCTCTTTTAGTTTGTTTTCTGACAAAGTCTAATGCTTCCTTCTTGTTCCTGAATGTAACCAATGGTTTGTACCTTTGCAAACCCTCTGTATTTACACGAATGTAGGTCTCTTCATTGTAGACCTTACAATGATGCATCTACCTCTTCGAGACTGTTCTTGAATAGATAATGTGATGGGATTTTTCTTAACCATGGAAAGAATTCTGCGATCATCCATTTTAGTCACCTTCTCTGGTATTTCAGGCCTTTTGGTGTTGCAGAGCTGGCAAGTGGATTCATGAATCATTATTTTTAAGGAGTATAATAGATTATTTGGGGGTTTTTTTTAGTCTAATGATAACTTTCAAGGGAAAAACTGCTTGTCGGCCAGTTGACCTCTTACTTCTGTGCCTCTGAAAATGTGGGACTGTGTGTAAGAACAGTTAATGCAATACTTTTGCATTGAATTAAAGCTGAAATCCACAAAGGCAAAATAGCACACATAAAAAACACCTTTATTCAAAAACTTAACTGTAAACAACTCCATTACTAGCATGAAGGTTAAAATCCTCTGAAATCTATGATTCATATTGATTTGCTTTTTACACCAATGCGCACACACACACATTCATGCATTCCCTAATGGCTGGCACATTTTCAGGGTTTTATGATGAACTTGAGCTTACAACATCTTTACTATGTTGTATGAAAAACAAAATACCCTTCAGTCAACATTAGCAGTAAATGAAGAGGCCATAAATATGTGCAAATGTGCAGACAAGCTTATTCGCATAATGATCATGTTTGAAAAACAAAAAAAGATAAGGATATTGAGTATTGCAAGAGTATTGCAGCAAGATCACCACGCTGATATAAAAAGAGACCTTGATGTCTCAGAGCAATGGATTTAAATGGTTGACAATAATAATAAAATAAAACTGCAGTCAGTATGATGCAGACATACTTAAAGCCAGAAGTGTGAATTACTGTTCAGATACAAGAACTGAAGTAAAGCTGAGCAGAAATGCCTGCACAAAGATATCAGGCAGAGTTGAAAATACCCGGTAGCACATAACAGTTTGCATGCATCACGTACATTTCGTACTCTGTAGTTTTGCGTGCCATGTGAAGTGTGTTGTACAGGTAAAACCTGAGTGTGTATGTGTCTGCAGTCAGGCTGCGCTGAGCTTTTAGTGTGTGAGCAAGAGCGAAACAGGAACCTGGCGCTCTTATCATTCCACTTCCCCGTGCAGCGCACTTCCTTGGACTGGCAGGTCCACTTATTTCGGGAGGCCTTGGGGTGTTCGAGAAAGATAAACACTATCTGCCATCAGGAAACTCTCAAGCCGTTTCCACGGGAAGTTTCAGATGGCTAAAGTAAATAAAAAGCCTTTTTACTGTATTCCACTAGCTGCTTTAACCCACAATAGCCATTCAATATAGTCATCAAAGGTTATAGAAATGAAGACTTGGTAGAATGAGCTCTCCTGGTTTCAGGCACCAGTCAGGATCCAGACTCGCATGTCGGGAAACTGAGACGGCTTATTCATCTCAGTGGAGGGTTATTTGTTTATACCGCCTCCTTACTTCTTCTTTCCAACTAATCCATGTATTTCTCTGCTCTGTGTCTCCATCAGATGTCCCTGGAGGCTTCTGTGTAAAGCAGCTGGAGGAGGCCAGAGAGGGTGGAGACCTCCACCTCACCTGTTTAGCCAATAAATACCTGTACACAGCACTGTCATGGCAGAGAGTGAACAACACAGAGGAAGCCCAGTCTCGCGGCTTGAATAATCAGCAGTTCACATTTGGAGAGTTCTCCAACTCGCTGGTCCTGTTAATAAGCAACCTGACGGCCAGAGACAGTGGAGCCTACAGATGCTCCGCCCGCCACATTGTCACCGGGCAGGAGACACACCTGGACACACAGGTGGAGGTGATAAGTGAGTAATCTCAACCTAACGCACTCATAAAGAAGAAAGCTTCTTTCTTTTTTTTACAGTACCCTTTTAAAGCTGCACAAAGCTTTTGAAGATTAGTGAAACCTATTGTAGTTTGAACTGTTTTGCTTATGGCGATCTTTAATATGTGTTTGCAGACTTACAGAAGGAGTTTAACTTAAAATTAGTTTTCTATAAAAAGAAAAGAAAAAAAAGGACATATTGAGGACATTTAAACTCACAGCCTCTTCATGTTGTTCTAGTACTTTATGTTGCAGTTGTTTGCAAACACACACATTCACAGAGGTCTTGCTGCTTGGGAATGGGTCCCCTTAGTTTCCTGGGGCCCCACCCTAGCTTTGCTCTTGCACTCCAGCTCAGCACCTCTTTCACGTGGGAATGAGCTCTTGACTGGAGGAAGAGCACACAATGGCACTTCCCACAATGCCACATTTACAGGCCCCTGTGCAGCGCTGCAGGAACAATCAGCCAATCAGACACTGTCAGGCCCCAGCCCTCGCAGACAATCATCAATTGTTGTGCAGGAGGAAGATAGAGGAAACAACAATCAGTTGCTGTGGTTAAGTGACTTTTCTTCGTGTCTTTTACGGCTGTTCTCAATACAATCAGGGCTTAGCGCGTCAACTTCCTCCCACGGGACACCCAGCAAGGGAATTACTAGAGATACGGGGTGACTAGGATGAAAGAAGTGGTGGTGGTGGGGCTGGAAAAACAAGAAAAGGGGAGAAACTGAGAAAAATTTTAAACATGGAGAGTATGAAGTCATCTATTTTTATTATCATGTATCGTTGTGCAGTTATAGTGTATAAGAGCTGTGTTGGCCTCATTGTATGCACTCACGCACAAGCAGCTGTCCGCACAATGAAAATGTTCTGAAATTAGTTTTGGTTTTTCTTTTGTTTTTAGTTCAATTCAGTTTCACTTCATTTCCGGAGTGATTTTTGATTGTTTCAGCTCAGTTTTTCCAGTTGGAAAATCCGTAGTTTTACTTTCATTTTTATTACTTTCACTTTTACTCCTTTTATTTATCACTTCAAAACAGGAGTCACTCTCTGTCTATGAACTACACACAACACTTTCTGAACTCAAAGTCGTGTCATGTAGACATCCAACGTCTTAGTAAAGAAAATGTACCAAAACTTTGTCCAGAATGTTGCGTTGATGTAAATTAAGAACAATTCCTGGATATTTCTATTTTATTTCAGATGGCTTATTTTTTTTAACCCCTTCACACTGAATGAGTCAGATTTGTTACGTGAGTTTTTTGTACGTTTTTGAGACTCCTACAGCAGAAGTGTGATTACCGCCCACACTAAAAAATTGCACACACCCCTGTTCTCTGCTGGCCATCGGGGCAGGGGGGCTGGAAGGAGGTGTTGGCCGTCCGATTGAGATCTGGGATGTGGGGCCTCCCTGTCAGTAACTGATGCCCTCAGGGGTCGGTGCGTTGGTGGTTCTTGGTGTCCGGGGCTGGGCGCTCAGGTATGTACCAGCTCACTCCCGGTGACTACTTGGCGGGGCCTGGTGCCTGTTGCTCGGTCAGGCCTCTTCCGGGGCAAAGGGGGCCCTCGGGCCTCCGGCCTCTGGGCCTGTGACTCGGTTCACTCTGGTACAGCTGGCTGCCGGCAGAGCCGGCGAGCACGTCACTGCAGCCCCCTCTGGCTTCTGCTCCGTGGCTTTAGGGTGACCCCTCATCTGGGGCTCTCCTCAGCTCTTCCCAGGAGGGTGGCATGGATGCCCCTCCGGTGGTCCTCCTTGGGCTCTCGCACTCTGGGGCCTCTGGATGTCTGGAGGCTGGATCTCCTCCATGCCTGCTTCATGCCCTGGGGGACGGGGCTATGGCTCTCTACAGCCTCTAGCAGACCATTACATGAGGAAACCTTTTGAATACAAGCGCGCTGATGCACACAGGTGTGCACACAGGTGTTCACTGTTCATAGACATAAACTACACCTTTATTGGCTGCTATTTCCAAGCACATTGTGTGCTGTCGGTCCTGCTTGCTACACAGCAACATTCAATATTTAGTATTTACTGCTGTTTACACTTAGCTAGATTAACGTGATGGTGTTGTGTTTAGCATGTTGCTCTGGTTTTTTTTTTGCTTGTTTTCACTTCTTTTTCTCTCAACAGGTGATCCAGGAGATTTTTTTTCTCTTCTTTCTCTTTTTAAGTGCCCTTTCTCACTGTCCCTCTTCCCTTGTTTTTCTTTTCCTTCATCTTTCTTTCTCCCTTTCCTATCCCTCACTCATGTCTGTCCCGTCTGTAACAACTGAAAATAAAATAAAATAAATAATAACAACAAAGGTCGATCAAATGGACCAATACGGCAAGGCCGTGATGATCCATTTGGCAAAGTAAATCCATTGGGTCTCCTTGTTGGTCTTCAGACAACAATTCTGATGGCTAAAGAACCAAATGGGACAGGCAAAAAATAAATAAATTTAAAAAATAAAATTGCACGATAGATTTTTAAGCCATAAATTGAAGGGAAGAAATGTTGCAAATATAATGCAAGTTAAAACTCCAATCCAAATTAATTTTTTGTTGTTTTTTGGTTTTTTTTAATCTGTCATGAAGTTCAATAAAAACTACTACTAATAATAATCATTTTTATTATTAGTTTTTCAGACTTAGTTTGAGTTTTGAGTTTAAATTTATTAACCTTGAATTCGCCCCATTGTTGCTGCTCTTTGTATTGCAGGGTATTAATAAATAAAAAAAAGGCCCAAGAGGACCCAAACTTCAGCTGAGTCACAGGTTTAAGCCAAGGTCACTCTTCCACGTGTGTCACTACAGCATTGTAGTTATTGTCCAAAAGTGGCACGGGTCCAGAAAACTATGGGAAACAAATAGCAGCAGTTTCACTTTATCACAAAACTGTTCAAGACTGTAACTACGACTGTGACTACTGTAAAAACTGGCCGTTTTTGGGGTTTTTTGTTAATTATCAAGTGGTGAAAAAACAGATTAGCCCACAAGAACTGAGAAGTTCTTATTTTTAGTTCTTATTATCAGCAGTGGGTAAATGGATCCTTACTGTACCTCAAGTTATGTAGAGACTATAAAGTTACTTTAAAGGTCAACTACAGGGACTTTTAGCTCAAAAGGAGTAACCAAAATAATCCTAAAATGATCCAAATGTCTGCTAATTTAACATTTAAATCACAGAAAAAGAAAACATCTATGCAACTCCATTCATATTCATCTATACATTTATTTATCAATTATTCAAAGTGTCACTACTGGTGACACTTGCAAGTAGCGTACAGCTGACAGTTTGATATAAGGTGCCAGACGACCCAAACATGAGCAGTCGTAGGGCCAAAGTCAAGGGCACAGTTGTGTTTTTCCATGATAAAGAAAAATCTGTTTTCATCAAGCCCATTCTTCTACATGTGTCACTACCAGCTCATACTTATTGTCCAGAAGTGGCACAGATCCAGAGAACTGTGGGAGAAAATAGCTCTGGTTGCATTTCTACAGATTTTAAATAATCCTCAGCAAACAATAATCTTACAAATTTATGTTTCTGTGTGCGTGTGTGTGCAATTAATGCCATATTCAGGTGACTCTGTAGTTGTATATACAGCTAAAATACACAATCATCATGTATTTTGGCTCATGATTCCTGTTCTGGTGTATTTTTACTGTTCAGCAGTCACTAATTTTGGCCACAACAGGCAAAGCGGAAAAACTGTAATGAAGAGTATGAAAATGAACAAAGTTGGCAATAAGCAAAAGAGACTTCCATTTCCTTAGTTAGTATAGATCAAAACAGAGCTAAAAGTAGACACAGCAGTGGAAACTGCAAGAAACAATGTGCTCAAAGTACAAATTATTCTTGCAATAGAAATGTACAAGATGACACAAACGTCTGAAGCTCGCTAATGTTTCTTTATTTCATCAAAAAGGAAAATAACTCACTATGGCATAATGTTACCATACAATCAAAGTGGAGATGATTTTGCTTTAAACAGTACTCTGGTGTCTCGGTAATCTGTCAAATGAATGTTTAAACTTGATTATTTTTGTGTTTTTTGCTGCAAAAAATATTTGTAAAAAACTACTATACGTCTTCAATAATGATATGAAGTAAAATCAATCGCCTACCTCTGAAATATAGTGGAGCAGAAGTATAAAACAAGGGGGAAATGGAAATACATGCATAAACCACAAGGACAGTATAATTAATGCATTCAGTTAGATTACACCCAAACACTCATCTGTGCTGCACTGTTACATGCAAAATATCCTCAAGGAACCACTGACACTGCTGCAGTAGTTTGTCGAGGAACCACTCAGAATGTTTTTGAGCTCATTATTATTATTAGAAGTAGTACTAGTGGCAATATAAGTCCCATAAATACACAATCTCTCAAATATTACATGAGACAGATTAAGCAGAAAATTCAGATTAAAGTTATCATAATTCATCTCTTTCTCCCCCTTCAGTCCTGGAGCCTCCTGTCCTGGTGAGTAATTTGACAGATTGCACCGTTAATGTTAGCAGCTCAGTGACCCTCAGCTGTCCATCTCGAGGGGTCCCACCCCCAACCATCACATGGTACAAAGACCAGCGTGCTCTGCTGCAGGGATCAGGTAAAGAAATCTTAACGCGTAAACTTTAGCGGTAAACCGGTGGTCTGTAATTTATTTGATGCCGTCTTTAGGTATTGTTATATCAGCAGAGGAAGCGAGGCTCCATATTGACCGGATCACAGTGGAGGACGAGGGTCTCTATACGTGCCAGGCAACCAATGAGAGGGGGTCTGCTGAGAGCTCGGCCTACATATGGGTTAGCGGTAAGAATCGCTGCCTTTTAATTGGCTCTCCACACAGTTGCCTATGTAACACATCCATATATAACCACTTTTGAACGTGCTTTGTTTTCACGTGTTTAAATAGGTGTGTAATGTGGATGCAGACATTTAGTAAAGTACATCACATTGTTTTGATGTAGTGTTTATACAGAGAGTGTGTCAGTTCTATTAATGGAGGATGATGAACGTCTGTTTATTAATTTCTAAGTAAACATTGATCAAAGTACGTCTTAACATAAACGTACTCAGCCTTTTGTTCAGTTTCCCTCATTCACACACCCACCCACACACACACACACACACACACACACACACACACACACACACACACACACACACACACACACACAC